ATGTGTACCTGCATGTATATAATGGTGTAGAGAGAGAGATGTGAGTATATATATGTGTCTGTCTGTCTGTGTACATGCCTTTATAGAGGTATAGGTATAGGTATAATAATAGATGCAATTATGTGGGCTATATAGCATTTCCGAAGTTCTTTCACCAGTCATTCTCAACTGAGAACAACTTTGTCTCCAGTGGACATTCTGGCAATGCCTGAAAACATCTGTATTTGGCACAGTTTAGGGCAGGTACTGAGTTGAGGCCACAGATGCTGCTCAAACATGCTGCAGTTTGCAGTACAGCCCTCAAAAGGAACCAACCAAAATGTCTGGTCCCAGGATCAAGGCTATCTCAATATTTCCAGGTTGAGAAACCCCATCTACATGTTTCCTTGCAAGTAATAGCCACAACAGAATATTCTCCTTTGTCCTCTGGCCACCACGGTTGGATTAGGATGACAGTACATGTGTGGCTGTAGGCTGCTTTCTACCCACAAATGAGAAGCACTTACATTGACTAACAAATTTTTTCACAACTCGTAGTCAACTCAACATTACCCAGGAATGACAGTAGTTGATTTTATTTATCATTAGGCACCAACTGCTCATGCAGAGGGAGAAGGCTACATGGTTTTTGTTAATCCACAACTAAAAAGACCACATCGGGGATAGACATTAATCACCAGGAAAGTGCAGTTGTGGGCTCTCTGCTTCCTGTATTACGCTATCTTAATTATGACTCCTTTCTTTGACAATAAGGTTAAAATTATTAAGTGAGTTCACCTGAGAACATATTTGTTCCTCCTTCTAGTGAGGCTTTAACAATTACTTGATTGAAGATCTGAGCTGCAGGTAGCTGTAATTTTGCAGACTCGTTATATTATTTCTGGCTTACTTAAGTGTTGACTCATTTTGTACTGTCTGAGAGCTGAAAAGAAATCTTTGGGGAAAGGCTAAAAATACCTTCGAGTTTTCTTTCTACAGCTTCAATTTTATGTCTCTGAAGTATGCTTAAAATCATATTCTATGCACATAAGGAATCTCAAAATCTCTGAAAAAGAGGGAAGCTTCCTCTCCTCCCTCAGTGCCCTCAAACTTTGTGTCATTTGATAATATACATGAGTAGGTTTAATACTCAATCATTTCCCAAATTTAATTTGACTGTCGAATGGGGCTTAATTTACATGATGATACAATTTCTCACACCAGAAAGCATAGTAACCCTTTTTCTTCAGAGGTTAATGGTGATCTAGCTTAAAGCCTAAAAGATAATTATAAGAAATGTGCTTCAGGTGACAAAGTAGTTTTGACAATTCCAGACTATTGATAGCTTTTTAATTATACCTCTGTCTACCACAGGAGACAGTATGCTTTCTGCTAAATAGTTTAAAGACCTGCTGTTGTGTTCCTGAAGTTAATTTCCACTGGTACTTTAACCTACTGATACTCCAGGCCCCTGAAACGTCACTCACCATTCTACAACCTCTGAAATGAAATGAAACTCTGGGTACCATTTTTCCATGAAAGACAAGTATATCAACCAAGAAGTACATAAATATGCATTGACTTGCTCATTAATTACTTGATATTTTATGAAATTTAAAAATTTTTAAATTTCAGATCCTTTGTCTTGTTTTGGTTTTATTCAATGGATAAGGTCATAAACCACAAAGGGTTACTGGAAGGACTTAGAAAATTAGTTTGAAATAGTGAAAACTTTAAAAAATCAGAGGAAAATGAATTTTATGCAGAATCACTTTCTATAATTCTGTCTTGTGTTTTCCTTCTTCAAGTTCTTGCATATTTTGCTAAGATAAATTTAAGTATAAAATAATAGCCAAGAGATTGGCAAAAAATGGCCCAATACACTTATTATTTTCTTTAAGGCAAAGTTCATGAAATTTTGAAAACAGCTTTCTTTTTCAATTTAGGAAAGCCTGATTATTTATTTTAACATGAATTCAGCTCATTTTTTTTATAAAGTTGATATTATTCACACAAAGTCAAACATCCATATGGAAACTGAAAATTTTAGTCACAGATCCAGATGTTTGACTATATTAAATCAAATTAATTTTTACTTTGGATTTTTATTTTATCAAGAAGCTTATATTCTTCATCTCATAAAAGTCTATTCTTAGCTCCTGATTCTTCACTCAAGGCCAAATTATGAACTGACAGATCAGATATGTATTATTTGGTTTCTACAAAGAAATTGAATTACAATCAATTCCAGTAGTTGATAATGGCAACTACAATATTTAGAGCTTAGGGAGACAATAAATTTTACCTGTTTATAGCACCATCATTTAACAAAAAAGAAAACTGATGTCCCGCGACACCAAGTGACACATCCAAAATCACACAGTTTGTGACAAAACGCAGTGAAATCTGGTCAGCTGGTTGTTTTAGTATTTCATCATGCTGCTCATGTTAACAAGACTACTCTTCTTTTACCTTTACAATCCACTAAGAAATTAAATGATCAAAATAGAATTGTCAGGTTTTACAAAGAAAGTAGAAGCAGTAGAGTTTCTACAATACTAGATCCAAGAGCTTTGGTGTAAGGTTCATTGTGGTCTTTAATCTGTCAGGTATTTAAACTTCTTTAGGTATAAAATGGAGCTACGTTTAAGGGGAACTATATAATATATCTATACTGTGGTTAGCACATCTGTAGAGAGGGAGGGATTAGAAAGGGCACAGAGGTTGAAAAGCATTAGGAGACTCAAAGGGAAGGAAATAGAGTGAACGTATGTATCTCTTTCTTAGGCGCCTTCTATGATCCCAATTACTGCGCTTATACTGAGGATAAGAATACTAAGGCTTTTGGCACTAAAATACCTTGTTTTGGTCATTTAACTTAAGTGGGTAAAAATAACTTCATAATCATTACTTTTTTTCCTCAATAGGACTGGAATACAACTGCAAAAGTGGAAAGGTGATGGGAAAGGTATAATATGGAGGTTCTTTATTATTATTATTATTATTGTTTCAGGTTCATTGAAGGGTACAAAGAATTAAGTTACATTGTTTGTTTGAATTTGTTAGGTAAAGTCCCTCTTATAATTGTCTCCCACCTCTAAAAAGTGTGCCATACACCGTGACCCCATCCCCCTCCTCTCTCTTGTCTCCCCCTTCCCGTGTTCCCCTGCCCCCACCTTGAATTAAGTTTTTCTCTTATGTGGGAATGTATTAGATTGCCTGCTGGCTTCACATTAGAACTGAGTACATTGGATTCTTGCTTCTCTATTCTTATAATACTTTACTAAGAAGAATGTGTTCCCCCTCTATCCAAGCTAATACAAAAGATGTTAAGTCTCCATCCTTTTTCTTTTTTTTTTTTATATAGCTGAATTCTCCTTAAAGAATGTGCAGATTCTTTAAAATAACAATGCTGACACTTTAAAATTTTATAAGTAAAAAAACTGCAATGACAATCATATCATCATAGAAACCTAATTATGAAGGATGGCATCTAATGTAGAGCAAGATGTCATGTTATTGAATTTTGCTATTGATTAGCTGAGAATCAGGATAGAGTGAGAACTAAATACTGTATAGTGATTGACAGGAACTACACAGGTATTTAACATGCATGGAATAATAAAATATTTACAGAATATTGCATTTCAATGTTATATTATTTTTTTTTATTTTTATCTTTATTCTTCACGAAGAGAGCTGTGAGAAATTTTGAACAAAGAAGACAAAACTGGATGACTGGCTAATAGGAAGGAACCATCTCAGAAATTATTGTTTTTCATGTAAATGTGTTATTATAGTAATATTAATGGAGATTTTTAAAAAATGTGTGTAGGAGGATCTGGATTATACAGGAAGTAGGGATGGAAAAGAGAAATGAGGATGGAATATATTTGCATTTTATTTGCTGTAGGTTTGGAATTTGAATTAACATCCATTTAGTAGCACGTTTTTAGAAATGAATTAAATCATGAATCATGAGAGGAGAGATTATCATTGAAAATATATGTTTTAAAGTCAATTTCACAAGAATAATAAATAGTTGAAACTTTAAGAAGAAATACCATAGTGAGGGGAAAAGTATGTCAAACTAGAAAGTGTTGCCAGAAACTGTGAATGCCCAATTTTACGGGAAAAAAAAGGAGAGGAAACAAAAAAAAGGAGCTGTCACAAAGAAGTAAGAGCAGTGCTGCACAAACCTGTTAAAGAAGTGAAAGGTTGGCTGTCAAATATTGGAAGCACGCATAGTGCAATGATAACTGACTTGGCTACTATCTGGTCCTGGTTACCACTGTAAATGCAGCAGAAAAGGAAGAGATTACAGAGAGACAGGTGACAATGAAGTGGAAGGTAGACCAGCAGTCTCCAAACCTATCTCAAATACTTCATCAATGTAAGGAAGACACTTCCATTGACCCATCGGGATATCTGGGAAAACAGAGCTCAAAGTAATTAAAAACAAACAGAATTGGAAAGGTAAAGAAAAAGAAAAAGGCCAACAATTCTATGAATATTTATTTCATGTTTTGAGAGGTTTAAATTCCTTCTAAACAAGATTATAGTAATGGGAGTAATAGAAAATTATATTTAATTATTTTCTTGTGGTAAAATAAAAAATTTACAAATGTAAGTTGACCCTAAACTTCCTTTGAAGCTATTACGGTCAATAGAATTTCAAAGTGTATGTGGACTCAAGAAAAATACTACCTTTAATAAAGAATGAGTGTGGAGGATGGAAAGCAGGAAGCCAACATCCAGATGAGGTGAGTTTGTTATACTGAAGGAGTACGAAAGGAAAAGAAAAGGAGAGAAAACTTCAGACTAGGAGGACTAATCATTAGATCCTTTAAAAAGGTCAAGTGTAGGGATATACAGACAAAAGATAGAAATATCAGCCTTAGAAAGATTGACACTTAATGCTCTGAGGCAGGAAATTGATAAAATTGATGCCATACTTGTGTGTATGTCTTTGTCCTTCTACAAAGTATTTTCTCTTTCCTTGACATTCTAGCAGGTATTTGAAACATGAGTTGTGTCTTCCCATGTCATCCTTGTGCAAAGGCCATGCTAATCTTCTCTGTCACACTCTGTCACAATTTTAGTATATGTGCTGTCGAAGTAAGCACAATTCTGAATATCTTAAGGTGTGGAAGGAAATCTTTTGTTATGAATACATTTATGTAATAAACATATAATGATAATGATAATTAAAGATGTCTTAAGTGTTAAACAATTCTCTCCCAGTAACATACACTGCATTCTAGTCTGCTAAATTTGTCAACAATCAAACTTTCAAGCTCCCACATCCAGCCAGCATCCTGGCACACAGTAGGTCTCGGTAAATATTATGCTGAATTATAGAAAAATATTCATAAATTCTTCATTGTAAAGCAGCAGTTTTTCCATTTGTACTCATCTATTTACTTGCATGCTCTTGCCATTTTTTAAAGTATTTTGAGACTTATCCTATTTTACCATCCACGCATGAACACACGATAGCAGCATCATGCATTTCAATGGTCTATCATTCGCAGTATTAATAATTATGTGCTACATACAAGATCTTCTCTGTGTTGGTGTGAAAAAGTTAATGTCTTTTATGTGGCTAGAATGAGTTACCAACTAGTATTTATGTGTTTTACAACAAATTGTCACTTACTCTAATTAAACGTTCCTATAATAACATTACTGTCATCTTTCTTCCTACGTTGGAGTTGATATTTAAATCATGTTGTCTTCTTTTCCTGGAAAGGCCATGCCATTTTCTGAATAAATGTCTCCCTTCAGGTGGAAATGAATAACCCAAAGCCAACCATATTAGGATGGAGACACTCCAACTCTAAACTTTGTAATATATGAGAGAAGTGTGAATTATAGTCAATCTATTTGTAATAACTCCCTTACAGAATATAAAATTATTTAAAACAATAAAAAAGACTTGATTGTAGTAGGATTTTTCTGTGGTTCCTTACACTTTACAACTTTTACTTATCTTACATTGTTTATTTTTAGATTGCTTCTCCAACAATAAAAGCTAGCCTTGTTTATCATAGCTTTCTGGTTTTGCCTAATTTTATCTAATTTTAGTTGGAAAAAAACCATAATACTTATACAATCTGCATGAATTATGTATACTTTGAGCCATCTGAAAATATTCCATGTACCTACAGATTAAGTCAAATATATAATTGAATAATTGCTAAATTAGTATTTATATTCAAGTGAAATTCCAATCCTGGCTCAACCTTTTCCTTGGAAGCAGGATTTGGAAATTCCACTAAATACCTAAATTCTACCCTTCACATTGCTTTCTGGATAGATATGTCTTATACGTGTATATTAATTGTCTGTAAAATCTGGAATTTAATTAAAAGGCACAGTAAAATTCAAATTAAGTTATAGTTTTAGATTACATATTCCTGGGAATGTTATAGCTCTCATATTGCTGGCTTTTCACTGTTTCATAGAAAAGCTTTATTAAAAAGGCTTTAAAGTGAGATTAATTTAAGTTTAAATTGTCACTTACAAAATTCTTCCAGCTAGCCTGAAGCAAAATTACATCTAATTCAAAATTAGAATAAAAGATTTTGGCCCTTTCAAATCTCTTAACTGGTGCTAACCTTCATTTCATTTTTAATTTTCACAATCCACAGAGAAATTAACCATATTGTGTAGACTGTCAGACTAAATTAGGAAGAGGAACGCAAGTGTGTGCTGTGTGTGAGCGTGTGTTAGTTCAACAGTTCAGTGGTGAAAGGAGGAAGGTAACTTTGCTAATCCGGATGCAAATGACCTTGGGGGTTCTTTGACTCCTCCTTTTCTTTCATACCAGGCATCCAATTTCAGAAAATTGTATGGCACTTATCCTCAATTTTTTCTCAGAAAATGACCCTTACCACCCCCAGTGCTATTACTCAGTCTAAGCCACCGGTGTCACTCCCTGCTTAGTAGAGTTTGACTCATTCTCACTTTTCACCCTTACCCACTACAGCCTATTCTCAACCCAGCATCCAGAGCGAGGTAAGGCCTTGGAAAGCTAATTCAGGTTTTGATGCCCCTCCACTCACAACTCTCCAGTGGCTTCCACAGGGTCCTTACATTTGCCAACAACGCTGTATAACATCTGACCAAGGATGACTCTTGACTTAAACCAGCTCCTCTCCTGGATCACCCTGCCTCAGCCCAACTCCTACCTCAGGACCTTCCCCGGCCACTCCACCTGGAATGTGCTTCTCCAAATCTTGAGCAGGCTTTTCAAATTCTTGCTCAAATGTCACCTTTTCAATGAGGCATTCCTCAACCATTGGATTTAAAATCGCAATTCTCCCCACTTCTTTTTCCTGCTGTATTTTTCCATTGCCATTAACTCTTTCTTAAATATGATGCAATTTCTTTTTTATGTTTATTGTCTCATCTCATTAGAATGTGATCTCCATAAGGGAAAATATTTTTGTTTGTTTTTCTCACTGATAGATACCCAACAAATGTGCAAAAGAGTGCTTGGAACACATCCCGTCAAGGAATGAGGTAGGTAAAATCAAAATCTTATGGTGGTTTTTTGTTCAATTCAGGAAATGTACCAAAACTTAGGGGATATCTCACATGAACTCTGAAGGATGATGAGAAAGTACAGAAAGGCCCCAAGAGTCTCGCTCCCTCAGACCATGGAGTGCACACAGGCGAGTTCTGGAGGATGACAGAGACATATTCATAGCATTTGAGGTAGGCCCGACCTTGTACACCAACGATGAGGGGCTTATAATGCACATTTATATTTTGATTCAGTTTTCTTTCCTTGTGACAATCTAAAAGATAATATACTAGATTCAGCTTACTATACTAAAAAATAGCATACTTGATTCAGTCCTATGGGTTCACAATTTACCCAATTTACCCAATTATAATGAGATAAGACATGAGCTCTGGGAGATATTCCAGGGAAGAACCCAGCCTGGGCCAGCTAAGCAACAAGAACAACTGCAACAGAAAAATAGCTGGGCATTGTAGTAGGCACCTGTAGCTACTTGGGAGGCTGAGGCAAGAGAATTGCTTAAGCCCAAGAGTCTGAGGTTGCTGTGAGCTGTGATGTAACAGCACTCTACTGAGAGCAACATAGTGAGACTGTCTCAAAAACAAAAACAAACAAACAAAAAACTTATTTTCAGCCTGTATATGAAATACAGTGACAAAAAAATGAAATAAATAAAAAAATATGCCTTCCTAGTGTGTGAATGTTTGGTCCATGGTGTAGGTTTAATTAGAACTGGATTAGAATCAAGATCAAGGGTGGTCATACATCTTCTAATTAATTTCAAGACTTAGCATTTGATCTCTTCTGCAAGTTCAGGTCAATTCTACTTTCTTGCTCTCTTGATTCTTGCTAGAAAAGCAAGGCAGCTAGTAAATGTTCATTCTGGACACTAATTGCAACGTTGTAAAATCTATTTCTGTGAGTGACAGTAAGTACATCTGGCATCACAAAATAGAACTTTCTAATTTGATTCCCATAAAAAGTGATTGAATGTTAATATTATAATAAATACTAGCCTCATATTCACTTAAGTAAAACAAGCAAGATTTTAACAATGCAGAAAGCACATCTTCTCCTTTACAACCCTCTAATATTTGACACTTCCATATGCACTGTGAATTCAAGTGATAAAATAATTCCCAGTCAATGATCTTTATAAATGAAGCATGAAATATTATTAGTTCTTACCAAATCTCTCAAGGTTATTTATTTTATGTAAATTAAGTCTTGAATAGATTTTCGAGATTGTTTGTTGTTGTTATTTTGGTGTGTGTCACAGTGGAAAATAAATAAGTCCCACAATAGCATTACTTTATAAGCCAGTAGTCTAAAATCCAGAGCCAATTAGGACTTCATTAGTTAGCAAAAAAGGACTAAAAGACACCTGTTTTTTTCTTCCTTATTTTAGCATTTTAAATAACAATGCTATTAAACTATACATAGGGTCTTAGTATTTTTGTAAATATCACAATAGCAAATGATCTCCATAAGGAAAACACATCTAAGTTTAACCTCCTACTCCAAGGAGAGCTTTTATGTATTTTACTTTGATACTTACGATTTAGTATTAACCCTAATTAGAGTATAACTCCCCATAAAGAACCTCTGGCGATATAATTTACTCATAAAAAATTAGTAGCAATATGGAATGTTGCATGGATATCTAGCAGGAAAAGTAGAATACAATAAAAAAATTAACAGAACCTCATAAATTTCACTTTGTGGAAGAAAGAACAAAAAATATACTATCTAGTTTTGCATAAGGATGAAGAACATATTTAAATATTCTCAATCAGGTGACCTTTTGTTTCACTGCACGATATTTGTCCTTGTTAAGCTCTGGTGCCAAAAGATTATTGCATTTTAAACCTATTTTAAGACTAAAAGTATTCAGAATTTCTACTTCATAAAAATGTAAATTTGCATAAAGTGATCTACACTCCACAACATGACGAGCATGAAGCTAGATTTTTCTTAGTACATTATGACTTGTGAATGTCAGATCTGAAGTATATATTTTGATTACTGCTTTTATAAAAATGTAATGAAAGTTCACTATATAGTTTATACTTTTAAGAATGTCTGGCCAATTCTAGACCAATTAAATCATCTTGCTTTGTTCTTCTAACATGATCAAGAAAAACTAAAGAAAAAATAGAATCTAAAGTGAATGCTTTAAAACATAATGTAAAAAAAAAAATCAACAATGAAATACCATTTAATTGAAATGGATGGCCTAATATCTAATTTGTTTAAGCCAGAAAAGTTAATTATACAAATTTGAAATACACTTTATTATTATTTTTTGCTTTCCTTTAAAAGCTTAGTAATTTGTAGGAGGTACTTTTTTTGCACATGGCACACCATAAAAAGAACTTAAATTACAGGCCCAGACTAATTTCAGAACATGAGATTCTATGTCTACTCCTTACTTGGACATTCAATTACATGGGTGACAGAAGATTCTATAGAAAATATTGGCATTAAATTGTTAAAAGTGCTTAATAATAAAAACTCACTCATTTTCTTTTTTTAATTAAATCATAGCTGTGTACATTAATGCAATCATGGGGCACAATGTGCTGGTTTTATATA